CCCACTTTCTCAATCTATGACCATTCAGATAATTTGCCTTCCTGTTCTTGCTACCAAAGTGATGAAGATAGAAATAGCGAACACCATGATGAAAAGACATCTTTCTCTTACAAGATTGTGCAATTTTGGGATTCTGTCTCAGAAGGCAGTGGAAGTGGGACCATTGACTTCTTTGAAGACAGTGGTCGATAGATTCTTGTTATGCAGAGAATCAGAGGTAATTGGGATAGATGGGAATGTGAAATTCAAAACAAACTGATCAGCCACAATCTTATTGAATAGTGGAGCTGACTCAGTGGGCCAATTGGTCTACTTTTGTTCTACTTTGTATGTCTCTATGAGATTTAAAAAAAAAGTAATGCGGCCAATTCTATTTGATTGTTCTGTCCACCAACTGCCTGGCTCACTGAGATTCATATCTAACGTAATCAACGTAGGTTCTTCAGGAAGTGGCAATCTTGAACAGAAGACAACACGTGCTGCTAAAAAACATACCACCGCTGACCTTTTAGTCATTTAATCAGATTTAACTGGCCAAGTCACAGCTGAATCGCTCTTCACGTAAAATGTTTAAATTCTATATGGTAGCGTTCCTGGAATCTTCGCAAGTGAAAAGTGGATTTGTGAATATATACCTTAGCAAGAATTACAAATCTCCCTGTGAATAAAGACTACTTTGGCTGATTGAAGTGTTAAAAAGACATTTTACAACTTAGTTTCTTACTTTGAAATGATCAAAAAAAAACAAATATTTGACCGGCTGCAACTTGCAAAAATATTCTAGCGAATGCACCAACTTAAAAGGTAAATTTTCTTCTCAATCAAAAATGTTTTCTTCCTTCAAAAAAACTACTATTGACTGTCACTGTTTTACACCCATGTTTACAGGAATTTAATTTGATACCAAGTTAGCTGTGACTGTGCCACAATTGGCTCAGGGCTGCGGCTCAGCACGCAGCATTCTGCCTCAAAGTTTATGTCTCACTTCAGGACAGAGCAGAATATATTAAAGTGCATTCATGGGATGTGGGAAACATGGGCCTATGTTTCCTGGCCAACATCTGTCTCAGGTTTGCTGCAGTGCTATTGCACGAGATGGAAGAAGAACAGCTCATTTTCCACTTGGGAACTCTAGAGCCTTCTGAACTCAATATTGAGGTCAACAACTTTAGGGCTTAAGGCACCTTCTCCTATGTCCTTACCCCAACCCCCGCACACCATGCCTTGTTATCACATGGGCTGCTATTACACACTATCCACCATTCGCTGCTAATTGGGAACAAAAACAAAGTTGCTGGAAAAGCTCAGCAGGTCGGGCAGCATCTGTGAAGGAGAAAACGGAGTTAACGTTTCGGATCCGGTGACACTTCCTCAGAACTGTTCTGAGGAAGTGTCACCGGACCCGAAACGTT